ATCCTTTCCATCAATTTTTTGATATTAGCGTAACTCTTGTCTTGCAGCAAGTTGTCCTGGGGTGAGATGGCTCTGGCGAGTTAGCCATGGTGAGTTGGCCATGGCAAATTGTCATAGACTTGCTATAGAACAGTCAACCATATTGACACCCCTGTCCTAAAGCCATCCCTTATATGAATCAGCAAGAGGAGGGAAAGGGACAGGAAACAAGACCCATGGAAAAAGGTGTTTTCTCTTGGTCCCATAACCCTAAACATTTAAGAGGATGATTCTTCAAGTTCTGGAAGATAACGAGTTTTCTTCATTTAACAGCTGAGATATGTAAATCATGTTTCTCATTCCCTTACTTCTCAAGAGGTGTTGTTCACATTGGCACTAATTGATCATTGCTAAAGGAGCAGCTGTGTCTTAAGATGGGTCATGGAGCATGTCCAACCAGGTCATTATCAGGTACAATCCTCAATCAAGATAACATGGTTTGATAGCAAAAAGTGGCAAGAAGTTCTGTCAATTCCATAAAAGACTGATTTCTAATCCACAAAAATTCATAATGCCCTAACCAAAATCATTTTCTCATCTTCCTGGTGTAAAGACTGTGATTCCCTCTGCCAAGCCAAAATGTGTGTTGCTACTGGCAGGGGAGAACTGGAGGATTTATTACTCTTGAATTTGCAGAGCTGAGAAAACCACTATGTTGTCATTCACTTAGTGTAGCCTTGTAATAGCATTGTTTTATACTGTGATCTCTCTTTAAAGCAGGTGTGTCAAACCTGCACACCCATGGGTCACATGTGGTCCTGGACAGCTAGTAATACAGCTCCACAAGATGGTAAACTTTTAACATAATTTATACATACATGTATACGCACATATACACACATTTTATATGTGGCCCAAACCAATTCCTCTTCACTCAATGGAGCCCAGGCAAGCCAAAAGGTTGGACATACCTAGCTTGGAATTGATCTGAAACACTTTAAGCTTCCTAGTTGACACACCGGTTTAACTCTTGATTTTTACAGCTGTCGCCTGACTGAAACCCACTTGTTTCATTTTGCTTGGTCTGAATAAAGGCATGGAACATTCCTGGACTCTAGATTTTGTTTTTCACTAAATCCAGTGTAAACAACTAGCTTTCTTTTGGGATTTCATGGTATGGTCATGTTGGCAGGAATTGAAAATTGTATCTCAACTCATCTGAAGGCTATTACAGGGGGATGGCTAATTTGCAAAGTAACATTGAAGACAAGTCAAGAAACTGCCAAAGAGCCATCAGTAAACAGCCCAACCAAAGAATCTCTAAGAACACTCCCCACCCACACATACAGGCAAGTCACTAGAATATAAACTGACAGCAAACAGCATTTGTTACTACCGTAGCACTGATGTTATCTAGTTAGGATAATGAAACGTCTGCATGAAAACAAGCAAGCTCAGAGAGCACCAAGGACCCCACATATCAACCCTGAGCTATAAATATTCTCCTTTATTAGTATTAGAGTTTACCTCCTATGGTTTAGCTGTGTAAAGTTGCTACAAACTGTGGAATCCAGTACCCAGTCTTGTGACCTGCTCAGAGGACTGGTCAAACCAGAATCCTGAGAGTAACACCTTCCATTATGCAAGAGTTATAGAATGTGCAGTTAAGAAAATTATTACTTCATAAAGCTGATGAGAATGTGTCAAGGCTTTCAAAGATTTTGTTGACTTTCTGGTGAGTAATTATTGAAAGACGTACAACACCTTCACAGAAAATTATATTATAATGTATTATTATTTTATCAGGGTAGCAAAGTATCTCAATAATAAATATTTATTGAAGGAGGACATTGAGAATACAAATTCTCATGAGGACTAAGCTGAATAAAGGGAAAGATGTTTATATTTTGAAAAATGTATTATTTCAACAATATTTTTGGAGAGAGAAAATCTGCTAAATTGGGCTAGGCAACATCCAAGATTCAGATGATGCAGAAGCACTGCTTTCCTTCTAGTTTGATTTTGTTATCACAAATCTAAATTTGTTTGGTTGAGAGATTCAGATAATCCCTTATGACATACACAAGTGACAAGAGATGTGATTCCCCCAACTATGCACCATACTTCTTCTGAAATTTGCAATCAGAATAGCGTTGAACTCATACAAGCAGAGCAAAGATTGCAATATTTTTATTCAAATTTATATAGCTGCCCATTTCTCTTAAAGGGGCTTTTTAAGAGGGATACAACAATAAAGAAAACAGCAAATATAAACAGATAAAAATCTGGAAAGTCACAGTGATAAATAGCATAAAAATACTAGCCCTGGGCAAAGGGAACAATATTGCTCCCTCAGCAATAGAACCATTGAGACAGAACTCCAATCCCTTGGGAGTCCCAGACCTGGCAGCATATCCAGATCTTCAGGGCCTTATGACAAATCAAAAAGGATTGGGCCAACCCAATTTCAGGAGGAAGGAGATTCCATAAAGGGGAGTTGCAGCAGGAAAGGCAAGTTTCCTGGGACCCACCAGATTTAGATCTGTAGCTGATGGTACCTGCAGCATGCCTTCCTCTACAAAATCTAATGGGGTGGATTGATGTAACCAGGGCAAGATGGTCTCTCTGATAACCCAAGCCCATGCCAAAAAGGGCTTTAAAGACTAAATTTAGCTACTTGATTTGGACCCAGAAGCAAACTAGCAACAAATGCAGCTTAAAGGACAAAGGTGCAACATGCGCCAACTCTGCAAAGTCACCTCAGAGCAAGATGGGTAGCAAACAAATTTAATAAATAATAATTCTGATCAGCTGAAACTTCTGAATACTCCTCAGGGGCAGCCCCGTGTAGAGCGCACTGGAATAGTCCAATCTGGATGTGACTAGGGCATGAGTGACTGTAAGCAGAGCCTGCCCCTCCAGAAACCAGCACAACTGGCACATTAGACAAAGCAGAGCAAAGGCCTCCTAGCCACAACACCCAGATTGTATATTGGGCCTGTCTGGGGTAGTGCCAGGACCAAAGATGGCATAGATCTTGGATCAATAAGCTCTGAGAACCAAAGCCACTCAGTTTTGGCAAGGGTATATAGCTGAAGCCTTGTTTCCAATCCAGATCCGCGCAGCCTCCAGGCACCAGGATAAGACATTCCTTCCATTACCTAATTGATGATACCATACTCAGTGGGCTCATTTAGATGTTGAAAAGGAGAGGAGATAGCAATGGCACTATGACACTCCACGCTGTAAGGACTGAGACCTCTCATCATCAATTCTCACTGACTGAAATTACGCACAATCCTGTGCCACCACCTCTAATTTTTTGAGCCAATCCAGATGGAATGGTTCACTGACAAAAGGGCGAACGACAAAACTGCGCCCGACTAAACCGCGGTGACAAAACCGTGTGTTCTAAAGCGCTCCGACGAATGAGCGCTGAATCGCGCCGACAACAGCGCGGCGACAGAAGTGCGCTGTAAAACTAACCCTAACCCTAAACCTAACGCTAACCCTAAACCTAACCCTAAACGTAACGCTAAACCTAACCCTAAACCTAACCCTAAACGTAACGCTAAACCTAACCCTAAACCTAA